AGTTTACATCATGTATTGTATTACATAAGGATACGGTAATTTTGTATATATATATACTGTTACTAGTTTATGTATTGTATTACGTAAGGATACGGTAATTTTGTATAAATATATATATAGCGTTACTAGTTTATATCATGTATTGAATTACGTAAGGACAATGTAAATTTGTATATATATATATAGCGTTTCTAGTTTATATCATGTATTGTATTACGTAAGAACACGGTAATTTTGTATATATATATATAGCGTTTCTAGTTGATATCACGTATTGTATTACGTTAGGACAAGGCAATTATGTACGGGGTTTCTAGTTGATATCATGTATTGTATTACGTTAGGACAAGGCAATAATGTACGGAGTTTCACGTTTATATCATGTGTTGTATTACGTTAGGAAAAGGCAATTATTTACGGCGTTTCTAGTTTATATCATGTGTTGTATTACGTTAGGACAAGGCAATTATGTACGGCATTTCTAGTTGATATCATGTATTGTATTACGTTAGGACAAGGAAATTATGTACGGCGTTTCTAGTTGATATCATGTATTGCATTACGTTAGGACAAGGCAATAATGTACGGCGTTTCACGTTTATATCATGGGTTGTATTACGTTAGGAAAAGGCAATTATATACGGCGTTTCTAGTTTATATCATGTGTTGTATTACGTTAGGACAAGGCAATTATGTACGGCATTTCTAGTTGATATCATGTATTGTATTACGTTAGGACAAGGAAATTATGTACGGCGTTTCTAGTTGATATCATGTATTGGATTACGTTAGGACAAGGCAATTATGTACGGCGTTTCTAGGTTATGTCATGTATTGTATTTCGTAAGGACAATGTAATTTTGTATATACATATATAGCGTTACTAGTTTATATCATGTATTATATTACGTAAGAACACAGTAATTTTGTATATATATATATAGCGTTTCTAGTTGATATCATGTATTGTATTACGTTAGGACAAGGCAATAATGTACGGCGTTTCACGTTTATATCATGGGTTGTATTACGTTAGGAAAAGGCAATTATATACGGCGTTTCTAGTTTATATCAGGTGTTGTATTACGTTAGGACAAGGCAATTATGTACGGCATTTCTAGTTGATATCATGTATTGTATTACGTTAGGACGAGGCAATTATGTACGGCGTTTCTAGTTGATATCATGTATTGTATTACATTAGGACAAGGCAAGTATGTACGGCGTTTCTAGTTGATATCATGTATTGGATTACGTTAGGACAAGGCAATTATGTACGGCGTTTCTAGTTGGTATCATGTATTGTATTACGTTAGGACAAGGCAATTATGTACGGGGTTTCTAGTTGATATCATGTATTGTATTACGTTAGGACAAGGCAATTATGTACGGGGTTTCTAGTTGATATCATGTATTGTATTACGTTAGGACGAGGCAATTATGTACGGCGTTTCTAGTTGATATCATGTATTGTATTACGTTAGGACAAGGCAATTATGTACGGCGTTTCTAGGTTATATCATGTATTGTATTTCGTAAGGACAATGTAATTTTGTATATACATATATAGCGTTACTAGTTTATATCATGTATTATATTACGTAAGAACACGGTAATTTTGTATATATATATATAGCGTTTCTAGTTGATATCATGTATTGTATTACGTTAGGACAAGGCAATTATGTCCGGCGTTTCTAGTTTATATCATGTATTGTATTACGTTAGGACAAGGCAATTATGTACGGCGTTTCTAGTTTATATCATGTATTGTATTACGCTAGGAAAAGGCAATTATATACGGCGTTACTAGTTTATATCATGTATTGTATTACGTAAGGACACGGTAATTTTGTATATATATATATATATAGCGTTACTAGTTTATATCATGTATTGTATTACGTTAGGAAAAGGCAATTATGTACGGTGTTACTAGTTTAAATCATGTAATTTATTACGTTAGGGCAAGGTAATTTTGTATATATATATATAGCGTTTCTAGTTTATAGCATGTATTGTATTACGTTAGGAAAAGGCAATTATGTATATATATATATAGCGTTACTAGTTTATAGCATGTATTGTATCACGTTAGGACAAGATAATTTTGTTTTGCGTTACTATTTCATATCATGTATTGTATAACGTTAGGACATGATATTTTTTCTATATATATTTAACTACTTAAATAGAGTCAGTGTGGTAACTTATAAAGCACGTAGTCAGAGTAAAATCCAACTCTTATTAATATCTTAACTCCATTAACCGCTTTCCGACACAGTATATTGGGTTTTGTTTTATAATCTCAGTTTATGAGCTCATATACAGTATAAGATTGAATTCGAGGACAGTACAGACTCTTATTTAATAGCCATTTTTTTCAATCTTTTCCTAATACCATAACCAACAGGAACAGCTTACTACTAAGCTATACCACAAGAATGGCGATTTCCATTGTGAACTTTCCAGTTTTGATAGTACAGCCTTTGCTATTCCAATTTAAGGCGTTTACATGTCGCAGGTGATTAGATATTCAAGATCTTTTTCTGAACGTTATAACTTCTGTGATATATGTTGACTTCTGACGAACAGATGCAGGTAGATGTGGATTATGGACCAGTTTTATGGTGGTCATCATGATCTCATCTAGAAATATGCTATAGCATTATATGGTAGGAAGGTCGATGTCTATTCTCGCTTTGAGGCCGTGGCCTTATTTAGATGTGACCACGATTAACATGACGGGTGTCGTCAATTGTGCAATAGACGGTCATCCTTCCGGTATAGCTGGTCTTAATCTATTTCAAGTTTCTCCATGTAAATATAACACATTGTACTTTGTTCATTTTTTGTCCAGAAACAGTATGTTTAATTGAATATTTGAACTCCGGTGCCGAGTTCAGACATGGTTTAATTTTGAATACATGAACTTAAACTTCATTGACTGACTTAATGCACAGTATATTGTTGAATATTTTAACTTCAGTGATTAAGTTCAGACACGGTATAATGTTGAATATTTTAACTTCAGACAAGGTAAATTGTTGAATATTGAAACTTCAGTGCCGAGTTTAGACACGGTATAATGTTGAATATTTTTACTTCAGAGCTGAGATTTGACAAAGTAAATTTTTGAATATTGAAACTTCTGTGCCGAGTTCAGACACGGTATAATGTTGTATATTTTAACTTCAGTGCCGAGTTCAGACACTGTAAAAATGCTGCATATTTTAACTTCAGTGCCTAGTTAAGACAAGGTATAATATTAGTTACACGAATTTATTACCCCTTTGAGTCTTTTATATTGGTTTTGTACAGTTCCCCGTCAACTTTTCTGTTGTCAAGATAAAAATGGCACAGTACCTCATTTAGTTTCGTTTTATCAAATTCCTCGAACTGTTCTTTCCGATTCTTTTCCTTTTAAATACGTCCTCAGCATGTTTGCCGCTCGTCTGTTCGACTTTTGTGTGCTTTGTGGCACATAGTTAGCCCTTTTGGCGAGTATTTCCTCATCAGTATGCGAAGCGAAACATTTTGCCATTTTGTAAACAGCGAAGCAGACGACGAATGCGAGTTGTCTCCCGTTGCCCGGCCGCAAGATACAAAGACACATGACCCGTATACCCCCCTTGTAAAATCACGTGATTCCACCGTATTACTGCTGAGAATCACGTGACATGNGTAATATACAATTATAGCATGTTTCAACTTCAGTGCCTAGTTCAAACACGGTATAATGTTGAATATGTAACTTCAGTGCCGAGTTTAGACACGGTATAATGTTGAATATTTTTACTTCAGAGCTGAGATTTGACAAAATAAATTTTTGAATATATTAACTTCAGTGCCGAGTTTAGACTAGGTATAATGTTGAATATTTTACTTCAGTGCCGAGTTCAGACACAGTAAAAATGCTGAATATTTTAACTTTAGTGCCAAGTTTAGACAAGGTATAATGTTGAATATTTTAACTTCAGTGCCGAGTTTAGACACGGTATAATGGTGAATAGTTTAACTTCAGTGCCTAGTTCAGACACGGTATAACGTTGAATATTTTAACTTCAGTGTCGAGTTCAGACACGGTATAATGCTGAATAGTTTAACTTCAGTGCCTAGTTCACGGTATAATGTTAAATATTTAACTTCAGTGCCGAGTTCAGTCACGGTATAATCTTGAATATTTAACTTCAGTGCCGGGTTTAGACACGGTATAATGTTGAATATTTTTACTTTAGTGCCGAGTTTAGACACGGTTTAAAGTTGAATATTTAACTTCAGTGCCGAGTTCCGACAAGGTAAAATGCTGAAAACAACCTGAATGAGTGAGTTCAGACGCGGTATACTGTTGAGTATTTTTGATGTTTTTATTAATCACATAACTGGCTGTTTTGTTATCAGTTTATACCAGTTTATATGATATGATGAGATACAGAGCGGTCACATCATGTACAGCATATTAATCCTTATTCCTTACTTAAACTTGGTCTGATAAAATGTACACACATACTTGGTATGACATCTTACAATTCCTTTCTATCTAAATAAACTTATTAGTCTGACACAATGGAACAATATCAAACGTAGTATAACATCATACAATTCCTTTATATCTAAATAAACTTATTGGTCCGACATAATGGAACAATATCAGACGTACAATGTAGTATAACATCTTACATTTCCTTTATATCTAAATAAACTTATTGGTCTGACACAATGGAACAATATCAGACGTACAATGTAGTATAACATCATTATTTAATAGTTAGTGTAACGGCACCAAATCAATACTGACGGACGGTTAAGCAACGGATATCTAGACTCCCTTTTATGTAGAACTGAAATTATGATTTATTATTGTTAAATAAAGTTTTTAATTATCGTTTTACATGTATCTTCATCATGATTAAGGCCCCTATCGTTGCAAATTCTGGATAGGTCACTTGAAAAATATTCAAGTAATTATTGTTTTGCTTATCTGAACTTTCAACTTTTCGAGAGTACAATGTGAGGGTAAACCATCTTATTTAGGGTACAGTGTGAGGGTAAACCATCTTATTTAGGGTACAGTGTGAGAGTAAACCATCTTATTAAGGGTACAGTGCGAGGGTACACCAGGCTTAAACGATTAAACGATGTAAAACGAATTTACCTTGAAAATGATGTTATGATAGTTCACAGTGAGGTCAATACCATTTTAATTAGATGTAAACTGCATTATTGTTTACCTGCACCCATCGATCTTTTGGACACAACAACCAGGTCATATCAAAATCCAACAACAACGACCTATTAACATTAAAACGACCACATGACAGATCCGTTAAGGTTACCTTACAATCGGGTTACAAAGTCAACACGACCTGGTCACATTCAAACAGCATAGACCTGGTTGTTCAAAAGGTGACAGGTTTGATCAGTGATTAGTGCAAAATATCCTTTTCTTGTACATTTAAAATACAACCATTACTTTATTTTAAACTTTAATAGTAATATATTGACAAAAAAAAGTTACCTGCAAAATTACAAGATTTTACACGGTACATAGACGGAATTATTAGAGGTCGAAAAATGTCGTTAAACAATGATTAAGCTCATCAACTTCTGAGCAATTGAGCCTTGATCTTACTGAAAATAACAAGTTTTACGTCCAATATAACATGTATTGATGACGTAGCTAATGTGTCTATTTTGTTTTATCTTCTCCTCTAGTTAATCGGTGAACCGCCGTGTGATCTGATACTGGCTGATGTTCTACTGAATTGATATCTGTTTTATGAACACTGATTGTCAAAAATATGACATGGTGTATCCTGTGAGAACACCAGTGGTTTAGAGTGTAACACATGACACAGAGAACACCATCGGTTACAAATCCCATCAATTACATGATAAAACAACACTACAAAAATACGTCCATTCTCAGTCTTTCAAATTTCGTTGTCCATTTCATTTTTTTTCAATTTGGTATTAGTGAATTTCATGTTTTTCGTAATACCACACATATCAGGCAAGCACAAAGCTCATAACATATTACTGATGTCATGTTTAGGTGAAAGATTAGTATCACACTTCACCCGATAAAATCAGACTGCAGTTTCATGTACTTGCGTGTAGCTACTTAATTTAAAAAAAAATAATACTATACATGTTTTCAAATCAATCTGATTTTTTCTTCTTCTGTAGTGATGATGTAGCAGTATGCATAATTACATTGATGGACATATTCAACAATCATATTACCCTGCAAATACAACAGAATAAGTACAATGGCCTATGTCACATACACAAAACATATACAATTATATTGTGATTTAATACGTACACAGTACGCCAAACACTTTGTCAATAAAATACAGTTTCATTTTATATTCAAAGACACTATGGTTAATACTATAAATATATAATATATATACGGAGTCCCAATAAATAAATACAGCAAAACAAACATAACGGTGCTCACATAGCATACCATATACCAGGTTAAAACCCTTATAACCTTGGTTTGTGCAAGTCGGGGATCATAACTTGTAGAAGTTACTGAGGCTGGACACTTCTGTTTCTTATAATAATTCTGGAACAATGAGATTTTCTCGTAATGAAAACTGATTATTTCAGGATTTTAATATCCATTTTTTTTTTGCATTTGATTTCCATTCAAAGATGTTTCATTATACCCCTATTATAGCTTTCTCTTCATTGTGTCCAGATTATGGTGCAGCTATGACCTGGACCTGCTGGCTATCCTTTTCTAGCGGTGGAATTATAATAAAGCACTACCAATCAGCCACATTTTTGTATTACTTGGAATATGTCTGTGATTACAACCATGATGTTAAGAGAAGATGCAAAGCTTTGGTAATTTGTCAAAAACAGAAACATATCTCACATACACTGTCTATTGTAACTGTGATGAATTAAAGCTGCTAATAATATCTTTGATTTCTCACTAGTAGTAGTACCGATGGTTGGATACATTTTCTGTAACGTTTGTCTCAATAAAACAAGTTTCTCTAAACTACCAAAAAGATATATACATGTAATATTGGCCATCTTAGATCTTTGACGCATACAGGCCACCTTAAATTTTCGATACCTTATGAATAAAACAAATAAACAAATAATGTACACTCATGTCGTTATGGTTAGGATAAAAATATTACAACTATTTCTCATATATTACAGCTCCAAATGACAGTTAAACCAAGACCTTACAAGAATACTTTACAAAATTCATAATATTTTCAGTTATCACATGTAGATTTGTCGTGTTAAAACAGGATATACATTAGAAATAGTAAACAGTATAATAGGAAGTTAATTCATTCACCCCTGAAATTTCATAATGAACTAATCCAATCTTTGAATTGGAGGAGTTCAAATGTGTCTTCAGGGGTGAATGAGTTAATGCAAATTTCTATTACCGTTTCGGGTTTTCAAGCCTTTTCCTTAATTGTGGAAAGTCGGTAGGCTATAGAGATATATAAAGGACTTTGTGTCATGTTAGCTGTACTGAGGTGTTTGTATGTACACAAAGAAAGGAAACACAATACCCTGTAATCAATCACACGACAATCATCAGAGATTCAATAAACCTATATAAACCTTTCACCCAATGAAACAATAATGGCATGATAGTCAATCTACTACCTGTAAGTAGTTTCAAAATCTCATCTATATTACATAATCAAGATTTAATATCATATATCACAGGATTTTGGCATTAGATCTTAAGTAAATAAAAAAATATGAACCTACTCATTGTACTGCATGTACACTTATAGACTAACAAAGGCTAGAGAAAGTAATATTCCAATACAAAATTGATGTACAATTTGACTGAAATTAACTGTTCTCAAACGTTAAGGTAAAAGCTACCAAGAAATTAATCTATATTATTACCATTGTGATTATTGGAAAATAATTGATGGAAGCCTTTTTCAAAAATATTTTTCTTTAAAAATTACATGTCACAAGTTTTTTTTACAGAACTATGGTTGTCCAAAATTTAAAGGATTAAAAATAGTAATTAAAAAGAAAACACAGAAAAAACAGTAGTCAAACTCGGGATCCTACAAAGCCTTCAATTTATCAAAGTTGGCATTTAGAAATTACATTTGCATAGTATCAAAATGAGTGTCCAATGGGCCACGAAGTCTATGAAACACTCAGCAGGGGAAGTTACTCTCAGCCCTACTCTCAGCCGGAGAACCTCCCTTTTGGTTGCTGATCTTCTATATAGAAGGGAGATTACTCCTTATCTTCTATATAGAAGGGAGATTACTCTTTATCTTCTATATAGAAGGGAGATAACTCAAAGTTTAAATAAAAGCTCTCAGTTCCCTTTACCTTAACGTTGAAAACCAAATTTTTCAGACTTTAGTTTCAAAGGATCAATCCTTGTGAAAAACCGGATTTTCATAATCCCAGTTTTCATTTATCTCTGTACTTTTAAGCTAGATTTATTTCAAGGTACACAATATTCTTATATTTTGCATTATGAGCACTTAAAAAGATTTACATTATCAGTAAATTAATGTGAATGATTCAAAATGTGTCATAAGGATGAGTAGCTTGAATCAATTGCCATAAATCCTTTTAAACCTAAAACAAGATATATTTAAAATCAGTTCTTTACCTTTTGAAATAATATAATCATATTGTCATTTACAATTTGGTCCCAAAAACTATATAACATCTTCATGTTTCGTAAAATAATCTAAAACCAGAAGATATCATGAAGCATAATACTATATATAAGTACTAATGAAAAACATCCACGTTCTTTGTTAAAACAAAGATAAATATATATGAAATCAATAGTGAATAAATAATTAAAGCATGATCACTCATGGTTGTAACTTTCACAAAATAAAATGTATAATGACTTAAATTTAAGTTCTATGAACAGAATAACAAGATATCGCTTAATGATACCTAATAGTAGATACCAGGTCTTTTTTGTCAGAGGGACGAAGAAAGAATAAAATATTCTTAATTTTCGGAAAGAAAAGATATCTCGGAACACATTCATTTATTTTTGTTACATCAAAGGAGCACCAATGAATATGTTTTGTTAATTAAAGAACGTGACAGACAGCCAGCTGATTTTGCCACTATTTAAGACACATGCATTTTGTGAAACAAAACACGGTAACACCTTGTGCAATATGTTATAAAAAATACATAACTTTGAAAGTAAATGTAATCCTTAATCTGAGTTGTTTCATTGCCTCATGCTTACAAATTAGTAGTGTATGTTATTTTCTACAAATTCTTAACACTGTTCCAAAGAAAAATATTGTAAATTTCAAAAGAAATAATTTATCAATGTGTGTCAAGTAAATATACGTCCACGAGATAAACATCTGTGGATTTCACCTATAAGAGGCCCATTATGCCTGTATCGTTAACCTATCATTCAATGCAGTTAGCAAACACATCTGTGACCTTTAAAACAGTGATCTGGAAGAGATTAACATCAACAGGCCAACTGACCTCCATCTAATATCATCATTTTATGCAAGTCGGAAATCAATTACTAAGTATGGTTTGACCCACTGATGAGTCACAACTTAAGTTTTAGATGTCTTAACATCACATTTGGAAAATAGACCATTTTTATATAATTTTAATTTATTTTTTCAGTACTAAAAAAAATAATCATTTACTTACAATTATAACAAGATATTTTATATCTATAATTTCAAACATCAGCTTATAAAAAAGGTTAACTTGAAAACCTTTATATGTCTGTTAACAACCACATAGCACAATAAAAATAAATGGCAACTTAAAGACAATGTTACATACTCGGGTAATGGTAATAAGCATTGCTTTGTTATTCACCATATTTATATTTAATTCTAAAAAAAAGGGAATATCAAACTCATTACCATTCCATCTGACCTTCTCAAACATTTGAAGATTGTTTAAATAGCCATTATAATGGGAACTGGTCAAAGATCCTTGGTATATTTTATTTCTTTGTAAAATCTTATCTGAATTATTACAACCAGTACGGTTGTAATAATTCAGATAAGATTTTACAAAGAAATAAAATATACCAAGGATCTTTGACCAGTTCCCATTATAATGGCTATTTAAACAATCTTCAAATGTTTGAGAAGGTCAGATGGAATGGTAATGAGTTTGATATTCCCTTTTTTTTAGAATTAAACCAAAGTGTGTAAGAGGTACTGCTACACATTATGTTTTGTTGTGGACTTTTAATTGGTCGGTATTATTTGTGATGTTTCATATATTAAACCTTTTCGTCATATATCTATATATATAAAAAATGTACATAATGGTCTTATTACACTGCACAGCAGCCATAGTATATTATCCATTGTTCTTTGATTATGAACAATTTTTATGCCGTTTTCCCCTTAAGTCATACAAAACTACTTCCTTCAGAATAAAATACCGTGTATATCACATGAAATATATACCATGTACAATATATGCCATGTAGAAAATGAATGACTCGGTAAAATAAACCCTCTGAACCATTAATAACTATAACAATAAAATATAGTGTTTAATATGATACTAATTTTGCAAATAGCTGCTAATCACCAAGTCTGATGTGTATCCCAAAAAGGAGAGGTCTCATCAATCAAAATGAATTCAGTGAACTAATTCCTCAGGTCCCAGAAGTTCCTTATAAATAAGTGTTAAATGTAGAGTCTTTGTGTTTAATGATTAACACTGTGAGCCTTCAACATTACATTTAAATACATATTATTTGTACTAAATATATCATTGAAATATACGTAGAAGGTTTGTTTGACTATGGCGAGGGGGACACAGGATGGAGAAGGGTATGGAGTGTGGTACTAGTCATGTTAGACGCAGTGAAGTCCTCTAACTTTAACTCGTGCGACTCCTGTAGACGCTTCAGTGCATCAACCGTGCATACAATGGTCCTGAAAAGAATTTAATACTGTCTAATTAAAATGCACACAAAGGATGTCACACAAACATGTTGATCTGTGAAAATTGAGACCATACACGTAGCAAGGACAGCACTTCCAGATATAATAGAGTATGTTTTTGACAAATATATTTGCAGGCAAATGAAGCATGTTTTTGATCATATAATTCCAAAATATTGAGCATGTTTTTGACCATACAATTCCAGATAAATGGAGAATGTTAGTGACGATATAATTCAAGATATAAAATAGAGCATGATTTTGACAAGGTATTTCCAGATAAACGTATCATGTTTTTTAAAGTATTTTTGGGAAGATAAGAGTTTATAACATCTTTTACAACTTATAAAACAGGAAAGTGTATATTCTGATATTTCCTAAAACTGGGGAGATATATTAAACAAGACATTTGAAATCTTGACCCTGATTTATCCTCTTTTAATATTGATAATGCATTACCAGAACACAATTACAACTAGAACACTGACAGGTCAGTAAGGGCCCCGTCTTGTGGCAATTATATCCACCATAATCATCAAGAAGCAATCTGCCCATACAGCTGAGCTTGACGTTTGACATTTGGACTTCAAAAAGAATCGAAAGGAAGCAAAATATACATTTTACATGTACCATGATGGATGTGTTTCCTCCCACCTCCAAACTTGCTGGGCTAACAGAAATGTAATTACCGGTGCAATACTCATTTGTTAGCTTTGATTTGTTTTATTTCACCTTATATACCTTCTCCATCAAGAGCCAGGGTCAAAGTCAGAGATCCACTTTGTCTTTGACCTTTGGACCCAAATGACCTTGACCATTAACCCAGTGACCTTGATCTTTGGTCAGTTGACTTATTCTTTAATTCCGACCAACTTTGCTTCTTAATATCATAACAAAATGTTCATCAGTGAAAAATACAAAACTTGACCTTGACCCTTTGGACCCCGTTACCTGGAACTAAGGTCAATTGACTCATTGTTTAATTCTGATCAACTTTGCTTCATCATGTCATAACAAAATGTTCATCAGTGAAAAGATGCAAAATTTGACCTTGACCTTTGCATCTCATGACCTTGACCTTTGACCTCAACTTTTTACCTCAGTGTGTCTCTTTGTATAATTCCGAACAACTTTGCTTCATAATGTCACTAGTGAAAAGCTACAAAATTTGACCTTGACCCCTGACCCGATGACCTTGACCTTTGGTCAGTTGACTCCTTGTTTAATTCTGATCAACTTTGCTCCATACTGTCATAACAAAATATTCATCATTGAAAATATGTAAAATTTGACATTGACCTTTGAACCTAATGACCTTGACCTTGACTTTTAATCGCAATGTGTATTTTTATGAACTGAACATCTTGACCAAGTTTCATGTACATCGGTCAACAAATACTAAAGTTATCAGCCAGGAACAAAATTTGTGGACGGACAGACAGACAGACAGACAGAGTGATTACTATAGGGCACCTGTATCTGAGATACGGGGCCTTAATAACTGTGACAGCTGGAGGGGAAAACACCACTTAGTTAATACTTACCCTACAGTTCCTATGAATATAAGAGTCCAGTCCATCACAACCTGACCAATAGACAGGGACCTGAAACAAACAGTACATATACACTTACACTTTTATAACTATAATATTGTATAATGTAATCAACTTAGAATCACTAATAAGTCAAATGTCCTCTTCTTCTGTGACAGAATGTCAAATTATTTACAATGAATCATGAACAATCCCAATGAAAGGAATCAAATGATATTAAGGTATTTAGTTATTCACACCAATTTCAATACATATAAACCTGAATTATTCATTTACATTAAAACTATTCTTCACCAATTAAAAACTTTTTTTTATACTTATTTTCAAATTCAAATGAATCTATTTAAATTTAAAAAAAACACCTAAACATTCAATTACACCCCTACCAAGATACACTGTCTTATTGAGACAGAATACCTGTCATCTTCTGTGTAACCCAGTAGACTAGTAATAAATTAAAGGACGGTACCCCGATCTTGTTGCAGTTGCCTTAATTATATAGCTTACAATAGGACAATGTACCCAAGTAGGGAACATGTATTGAATCATGATCTGCCATCTGTCACAGTGCCAGAGCAAAATGAGACAATTTGAAATAAGTGAGTTCACAATCAGCATGTTTTAGTCAGATTATGAGGTGATAACTCAAGATGAGCATGTGTTAATTGAAATCAATTAACTCCTGGTCAAGTGTAGTAACTCCTGGTCAAGTGTAGTTATTCCTGGTCAAGTGTAGTAACTCCTGGTCAAGTGTAGTTGTTCCTGGTCAAGTGTAGTAGCTCCTGGTCAAGTGTAGTTACTCCTGGTCAAGTGTAGTTACTCCTGGTAAAGTGTAGTAACTCATGGTCAAGTGTAGTTACTCATGGTCAAGTGTAGTTACTCATGGACAAGTGTAGTTACTCATGGTTAAGGGTAGTAACCCATGGTCAAGTGTAGTTACTCATGGTCAAGTGTAGTAACTCATGGTCAAGTGTAGTTACTCATGGTCAAGTGGAGTTACTCATGGTTAAGTGTAGTAACTCATGGTCAAGTGTAGTTACGCATGGTCAAGTGTAGTTACTCATGGTTAAGTGTAGTTACTCATGGTTAAGTGTAGTTACTCATGGTCAAGTTTAGTAACTCATGGTCAAGGGAAGTAACTCATGGTCAAGTGTAGTTACTCATGAGTCATGGTCAAGTGTAGTTACTCATGGTTAAGTGTAGTTACTCATGGTCAAGTGTAGTTACTCATGGTTAAGTGTAGTTACTCATGGTCAAGTGTTGTAACTCATGGTTAAGTGTAGTAACTCATGGTCAAGGGTAGTTACTCATGGTCAAGTGTAGTAACCCATGGTCAAGTGTAGTTACTCAAGGTCAAGTGTAGTAACTCATGGTCAAGGGAAGTGTCACTTCCTAACCTATGGTCAAGTATCACCTCTTAACCTATGGTCAAGTATCACCTCCTAACCTCTCCAAAATAATAAAACTGATCCTTTCAGTTGGAGTCTTTTTCTGTTTGCTGAAACAATGGGTATTGAGTGTAAGCCAGTGTAGACTGTTTACATAGACTACGTGGCGGTCTAGGACTTTATAGTAAACATCCCATGTGTTACTGTTTACATAGACTTTGTGGCGGTCTAGGACTACATAGTAAACATCCCCTGTGTTACTGTTTACATAGACTTTGTGGCGGTCTAGGACTACATAGTAAACATCCCATGTGTTACTGTTTATATAGACTTTGTGGCGGTCTAGGACTACATAGTAAACATCCCATGTGTTACTGTTTACATAGACTTTGTGGCGGTCTAGGACTACATAGTAAACATCCCATGTGTTACTGTTTACATAGACTTTGTGGCGGTCTAGGACTACATAGTAAACATCCCATGTGTTACTGTTTACATAGACTTTGTGGCGGTCTAGGACTACATAGTAAACATCCCATGTGTTACTGTTTACATAGACTTTGTGGCGGTCTAGGACTACATAGTAAACATCCCATGTGTTACTGTTTACATAGACTTTGTGGCGGTCTAGGACTACATAGTAAACATCCCATGTGTTACTGTTTACATAGACTTTGTGGCGGTCTAGGACTACATAGTAAACATCCCATGTGTTACTGTTTACATAGACTTTGTGGCAGTCTAGGACTACATAGTAAACATCCAATGTGTTACTGTTTACATAGACTTTGTGGCGGTTTAGGACTACATAGTAAACATCCCATGTGTTACTGTTTACATAGACTTTGTGGCAGTCTAGGACTACATAGTAAACATCCAATGTGTTACTGTTTACATAGACTTTGTGGCAGTCTAGGACTACATAGTAAACATCCCATGTGTTACTGTTTACATAGACTTTGTGGTGGTCTATCTAGGACCACATAGTAAACATAATCCCATGTGTTATTGTTTACATAGACTTTGTGGTGGTCTATCTAGGACTACATAGTAAACATAATCCCATGTGTTATTGTTTACATAGACTTTGTGGTGGTTTATCTAGGACTACAAAGTAAACATAATCCCATGTGTTATTGTTTACATAGACTTTGCGGTGGTCTAGGACTACTTATAATTACCCTTTGAAGATGGACAAGTGGAACAGGCCTGGAAGGATGAAGGCTAACAGGGTACAACAAGTGGCGCCTACAAGAGCCATCAGGTTGGCAAAGTTAGGGATGATTGTCACGGTCAAACCAGTCACTAGCACCATGAACAGACGAAGTGCATTCTGTAAAACACAAAGGACAGTCCATCATTAACATTCTCTCTTTCTTCATACAGGGTGTTAAATTTTACAGGATATTTCAGCATATTACCAATCACATACTATGGGCCGCAGGAAGCAACATCAAACACACACAGAAAGATAAAGCTTGTTTGTACTTATTATGGTGTTTTATCAAAACCAAAATGTTCAATGTATCATTCTTTATCAAACATACCCAGTACATTACTACAATATTGATAAGAAGGTTAATGTTGAAATAAAATTATTGCATAAATATTAATATTGCAAGTTTCTTGTTCAACAAAACATGGCATTGTACAGTTTAAATGATACATGATATTATAGCTTGCATTATTATCCACATGTGTATATTCCAACTTAAAAATGACAACATGGTCAAAGATTTGCCTGTAACTATGAAAGGTCTGGCTCCCGTATCTCTGTATATTTGATTTATACTCGGTTCATTGTTATCAGTTCAGCTATGTAAATGGTTTGGTTCTTGCAGAAAAGTAAAGATTTTTGAAGAACTTTTCGTTAAATATAACCATAATACTTACCCCCTTCCATATCTGTTTTTCTACATTAACAAATAAGTAGCCTTCAAGTATTTTCATCACTGGAAACATCATCACTGAAACCAATATTGAACATTTTCAAACGATCATATCACAAATAATCATCTAACAAATAAAATGTCGACTCATGAATCCTATCCTCACAACTTAGCATCAGGACAGTGATTTGGCATAACGAAATATATGTATAAGGCTAAAAAAATCAAAAAATCTTATCCTTTCAATAAAGTCAGGTAATAATATAATTAGCCCCTTATAGGTTTACCTATGATTACCTCTGACAATATTGAACTATGAATAGACAGGTATTATACATAGGTAAATTTAATCGTTGCCAATAGTGGGATAATCTGATTTATTACAGATAGACATATATGTAACTATATGCTATATACAATGTTGTAATTGTGTACATCACACGCCATGTATCATATTTATTATATGTATGTGACCTCTTGTTACACACGTAAATGTGTCGGAGTGAATAAATAAAACTTGGAAACTTGAAAACAAACCTGGATAAGTAAAGAACAAAGCAAGGCACAGACAGGACTTGACAATCATAGCGAAGTCTATGGAATCTCCTACAAACAGACGAAAGCACATGGTTAACCTTACTCATTGTTTAAATATATCATTCACAGAACTTTCATACAACTTTTCATTGCAAAAAGTCTTCAATTTTCACAGATAACAATGTTTTGCTGAGAAATAGGAATTTAATAGTTTGATACATACATGTAAAACGGTGTGAGGTCATGATCAATGTACATGCAGCTATAGATATGCATATTTGAAAAGTAAATTGATAGATTAAAACAAATTTTAAAGAATTGACACAGAGTCATCTGAGAAATGAATACATTTAGACTGTTTTGTAGGCAAATGGACACATCAACTACATACCTTTTGGAAGATTCAGTGTTATTATTTCATTGGTTTCTTTACCAAAAGACTGAAAATAAATTGTGCAAAACATTCACCATAACTGTTCTTCAATGCTTTTCAGAATATAATAAGCTTAATATAAAGAAGATTACTACTAACAATTGTATTTATTTATTCAGGCATGTAAACCTTAATTAAAGTTATAAAGTAAATACAGAAATTCTCAAACTCAAGTTTTTAATATGCACTTTTACTCTCTAAAATATAAAGAGACTCAAAATAAATGTGAATTCTAGCAGTCAGACATGTATGCAAGGTGTGTAAGAATAATTTAATTGATAAATCAGTCAATATAGTTAATCACATAATTTGATTGATAAATCAGTCAATGTAGTTAATCACATAATTTAACTGATAAATCAGTCAATATAGTTAATCACATAATTTAATTGATAAATCAATCAATATAGTTAATCACATAACTAAATTGATAAATCAATCAATATAGTTAATCACATAATTTAATTGATAAATCAGTCAATGTAGTTATAAGGTTATCATTATTATTAGCTTTTTTAAATCATAATTAAGTGGGTTTGATGTTGTCTGCCTTAATCTGTTGTAAATTATTTAAAGAAACTACTAAGAACTTACCAGATAGCCACAGGCTCCAAAGGATATATACATACTTGTTACTATAACCATAGTACTAATAAAATACCTGTAAATAAATCACATAGCATTTCAGTGACATTTAACAAAATGTAATAACAGCTTACTATATAACAACCATCTGTTAACTGTAAATCGATTACATTGCCATTTAATAACAGCTTACAAAATCCACATCAATGTAGGTGTAGATAATAACATAGCTGTTCAATACAGCCGACAACATACCTATTAACAGACTGCATGGCATTTCATAGACAGTTTATCATAATGTAAATGTATGAGGAATCAATGCAGCTATTTTACACGTATTACTAAAATTATATTATATTTAACAGGTAAACAATAGGATTTACACATGATTTACTCAAATGTCGCTAGAGTAGTGGTAGTTGCCATCAAATACGTACTTTGCATTGACTCTTCCTCACTTTTTACATCACACTTAAGATTTATTTTTTTCATTTAGTGAAAATATACTGACTTGTTTACAAAAGTAAAACTGTGTGAACATAATATACACCCTTTTTTATATTTACATTGTGAGAACTTAAATTACTCACATATTTCTAAACATTTTCTTCAGGTTGGTAAGTATGGATTCTGAAAAGTTCTTTTTTACACAACCAATAAAATTTTCTATGTGACATTTTGATGACTAGTACGATATGTAGACTGTCACCTTCATCAGACAATTGACCAGTGAAGCGTAGGTAGACTGTCACCTTCATCAGACAATTGACCAATGAAGCGTATGTAGACTGTCACCTTAATCAGACAAATGACCAATGAAGCGTATGTAGACTGTCACCTGCATCAGACAATTGACCAATGAAGCGGATGCACACAAAGGTGTAAAATGTGTAAGAGTTGTCCATAAAACCTTTGTGTGCATACACTTCATTGGTCATTTGTCTGATGAAGGTGACAGTCTACTTACGCTTCATTGGTCAATTGTCTGATGAAGGGGACAGTCTACCTACGCTTCACTGGTCAATTGTCTGATGAAGGTGACAGTCTGCATACGCTTCATTGGTCAATTGTCTGATGAAGGTGACAGTCTGCATACGCTTCATTGGTCAATTGTCTGATGAAGGGGACAGTCTACCTACGCTTCACTGGTCAATTGTCTGATGAAGGTGACAGTCTACCTACGCTTCACTGGTCAATTGTCTGATGAAGGTGACAGTCTGCATACGCTTCATTGGTCAATTGTCTGATGAAATTGACAGTGTACATATCGTACTAGTCATCAAAACATCACATAGAAAATTGTATTGGTTGTTTAAAAAAGAACTTTTCAGAATTAAATTACTCACTTTCTTATATCTGTGAAATTATATGAATATATAATACTCACTTTTTAAATGAATGTCGTACATCTTCTGCTAAAGAGCTTTCTAATGATAAAATCATACCTGCACCCTGAAACAAAGGAATGGAGTTCAAATTGAATAAGGGTTAGTTTTCTTACAATTGATTATACTGATTATAACCCTGAAGCTTATTCCTATAACTATATATAACACTCCAATTAATTAATCTAATATAGAACCAGTCAAATAAATCAATCTTTAACTCATGTTTGATATAAAAGCTGGCTAATCATCTATAATCACTTTAAATTTCAATATACATTATTTTCTTCTATCTTTAATGTTGTGATTTCATCGGGGATTAAAAGCAACAAATTTTGACTATTTTTACCAAAGGGATATTGCAGAGAACTATTAAAAGCTGTCCTAGATGTAGTGAGAACACAATTGTACATGTCCTCTCTATCTCAGCTAAAGCTGCCTAATCAGAGATACTGACAACCCTCTATACATTTCCACTTCCACATCTCCTTGGCTTCCGTTTTAGTGATTAAATTATATTTTATTACTAGGTGAAAATTTATCAGAATTTTACAACTGTTGTCGAGACATTTCGGGAAATCATAAATAAACAAATATATGTGTAACACATCCAAAACATTTTGACCGGTTGGTTTTGGATGAAAACAATTTTAGTACACAAAAATGAATGAAAATGTCAAATATTTAAATTTATTTTTCCATTTTGGCTTCATTAATATTATCCATATGAACCATGATTTCTGATCATGATTGCTTCTGTCTGTACAGATAGGCAGATAGGTAAAATAATTCAGGTTTATCATATTCTATCTACGTAAAAGTACTTACTTCATAACAATATATTGAAATGGCCAGGAAAAAAGGCAAGCCATTTAGGGAGATTTTCTTTGGATGGATCCTGAAAGAACAAAACAGTAAAATTTCCAGCATGTCGTCATTATGTATGTGAGTATTATATCATTTCTATGATTATAAAATGTTTTTTATAATGAAATTCATTACCATGTGTCCCGTTTATAATTTTCCACAAAAAATAACCTTCAATAGAAATTACCAAGTTTTTAAGTAGAAATTGTGTTTTCATCATTATTTTTGGAAGAAATTAAAGAATGCAAGCAGTTTTAGTTTTGAAAAGATTCAATCTCATAAATCTTGAGCTATCAGTAAACACTAAGTTATCAATACCCTGGGAGTAATCATGATCAAACATCATATAATTAATGAACCAGCTGAAAACAAAACATGTTTTTTTCAATATTGGGAATGAGATTCTTCAGTTTGGTATGAAGAATAAAAGATTGTTTTGAATCCAAATAGTTATTGAAAACTTATTGTGTGAGCTTTCCAATACACATTACCTTTCCCTCTGACTGCCGGCAGTATTAGATTGCTATTTGGCGAAATGTCATGATGTTTTTCTGACAGTTGACTTTAATATTGACTCAGTACGTTGTGGTAAAGTGAGTTGTTTTCAGTGGTTTCATTGACACTCTTTCCTTGACAATGGAAACTGATGTTCTTGAAAGCTCACAAATAAGTTATCAATTTATGTTTGTGTTCAAAACAAACTTAGCATTTAATTGATGTTCATAATGAATGCATTGTTATTATGAGAGCAGAGGTTGTGATGTGTACTGAAAAAAGGAAGAAAAGGAATGGATGGAAGAAAGGGGGAGAACCACACAACCAAGTTCAGCAGATAGATAAACTGATATTATTGACCACAAAATAACGTAGACCTATAAATGGAAACCACAAATTTATCAGCTGTTTCATTAACACACACGGATCCAATCTGTTCCAACAAGCAAGAGCCTTATGTATTGGCCGCAATCGATCACCAACACAGTTTTATATTTTTATTTTGTTTTAAGATCTGGAGCTTTTGACCTAGCATTTGGATCAAAGTGATTATTTTGATCAATTGAAATTGTCCTCGGGTCTCCCCGACAACCTATAGATGACGGACAGTCAGACAATTATGTGATGCTTTTATTTTCTTTAAAGTCTTCATCGTTGTACAAATAAACACGTAAATGGAGTAATTACAATTCATGTAGTCCAAAAGTCTACTGGATTGTCTTTATACTGTGGTTGAGTACCAAGTATACTGGGTTTGTCTTTATACTGTGGTTGAGTACCAAGTATTCTGGGTTTGTCTTTATACTGTGGTTGAGTACCAAGCATACTGGGTTGTCTTTATACTGTGGTTGAGTCCCAAGTATACTCGCGTTTGTCTTTATACTGTGGTTGAGTACCAAGGATACTGGGTTGTCTTTATACTGTGGTTGAGTAGCAAGTATACTGGGTTTGTCTTAACACTGTGGTTGAGTACCAAGTATACTGGTTTGTCTTTATACTGTGGTTGAGTACCAAGTATACTGGTTTGTCTTTATACTATGGTTGAGTACCAAGTATACTGGGTTGTCTTTATACTGTGGTTGAGTACCAAGTATACTGGGTTTGTCTTTATACTGTGGTTGAGTACCAAGTATACTCACGTTTGTCTTTATACTGTGGTTGAGTACCAAGTATACTGGGTTGTCTTTATACTGTGGTTGAGTAGCAAGTATACTGGGTTTGTCTTAACACTGTGGTTGAGTACCAAGTATACTGGTTTGTCTTTATACTGTGGTTGAGTACCAAGTATAATGGTTTGTTTTTATACTGTGGTTGAGTACCAAGTATACCGGGTTGTCTTTATACTGTGGTTGAGTACCAAGTATACTGGGTTTGTCTTTATACTGTGGTTGAGTACCAAGTATTCTGTGTTTGTCTGTATACTGTGGTTGAGTACCAAGTATAATGGTTTGTTTTTATACTGTGGTTGATTACCAAGTATACCGGGTTGTCTTTATACTGTGGTTGAGTCCCAAGTATACTGGTTTGTCTTTAAACTGTGGTTGAGTACCAAGTATACTGGTTTGTCTTTATACTATGGTTGAGTACCAAGTATACTGGGTTGTCTTTATACTGTGGTTTAGTACCAAGTATACTGGTTTGTCTTTATACTGTGGTTGAGTACCAAGTATTCTGTGTTTGTCTGTATACTGTGGTTGAGTACCAAGTATACTGGTTTGTCTTTAAACTGTGGTTGAGTACCAAGTATACTGGTTTGTCCTTATACTGTGGTTGAGTACCAAGTATAATGGTTTGTCTTTATACTGTGGTAGAGTACTAAGTATACTGGTTTGTCTTTATACTGTGGTTGAGTACTAAGTATTCTGGGTTTGTCTGTATACTGTGGTTGAGTACCAAGTATACTGGGGTTGGCTGTATACTGTGGTTGAGTACCAAGTATACTGGTTTGTCTTTAAACTGTGGTTGAGTACCAAGTATACTTGTTTGTCTTTATACTGTGGTTGAGTACCAAGTATAATGGATTTGTCTTTATACTGTGGTTATGTACCAAGTATACTGGATTTGTCTTTATACTGTTGTTGAGTACCAAGTATACTGGATTTGTCTTTATACTGTGGTTGAGTACCAAGAATACTGGGTTGTCTTTATACTGTGGTTGAGTACCAAGTATATAATGGTTTGTTTTTATACTGTGGTTGAGTACCAAGTATACCGGGTTGTCTTTATACTGTGGTTGAGTACCAAGTATATAATGGTTTGTTTTTATACTGTGGTTGAGTACCAAGTATACCGGGTTGTCTTTATACTGTGGTTGAGTCCCAAGTATACTGGTTTGTCTTTAAACTGTGGTTGAGTACCAAGTATACTTGTTTGTCTTTATACTGTGGTTGAGTACCAAGTATATAATGGTTTGTTTTTATACTGTGGTTGAGTACCAAGTATTCCGGGTTGTCTTTATACTGTGGTTGAGTACCAAGTATATAATGGTTTGTTTTTATACTGTGGTTGAGTACCAAGTATTCCGGGTTGTCTTTATACTGTGGTTGAGTACCAAGTATACTTGTTTGTCTTTAAACTGTGGTTGAGTACCAAGTATACTTGTTTGTCTTTAAACTGTGGTTGAGTACCAAGTATACTTGTTTGTCTTTATACTGTGGTTGAGTACCAAGTATACTGGATTTGTCTTTATACTGTGGTTATGTACCAAGTATACTGGATTTGTCTTTATACTGTGGTTGAGTACTAAGTATTCTGGGTTTGTCTGTATACTGTGGTTGAGTATCAAGTATACTGGGTTGTCTTTATACTGTAGTTGAGTACCAAGTATACTGGGTTGTCTTTATCCTGTAGTTGAGTACCAAGTATACTGGGTTGTCTTTATACTGTAGTTCAGTACCAAGTATACTGGATTGTCTTTATACTGTGGTTGAGGACCAAGTATACTGGATTTGTCTTTATTCTGTGGTTATGTACCAAGTATACTGGTTTTGTCTTTATACTGTGGTTGAGTACAAAGTATACTGGTTTGTCTTTATACTCTGGTTGAGTACCAAGTATACTGGGTTGTCTTTATCCTGTAGTTGAGTACCAAGTATACTGGGTTGTCTTTATACTGTGGTTGTGTACCAAGTATACTGGGTTTGTCTTTATACTGTGGTTGAGAACCAATTATACTGGTTTGTCTTTATACTGTGGTTGGGTACCAAGTATACATGTTTGTCTTTATACTGTGGTTGAGGACCAAGTATACTGGATTTGTCTTTACACTGTGGTTGAGTACCAAGTATACTGATTTGTCTTTATACTGTGGTTGAGAACCAAGTATACTGGATTTGTCTTTACACTGTGGTTGAGTACCAAGTATACTTGTTTGTCTTTATACTGTGGTTGAGTATCAAGTATACTGGGTTGTCTTTATACTGTGGTTGTGTACCAAGTATACTGGGTTTGTCTTTATACTGTGGTTGAGAACCAATTATACTGGTTTGTCTTTATACTGTGGTTGGGTACCAAGTATACATGTTTGTCTTTATATTGTGGTTGAGTACCAAGTATACTGGTTTTGTCTTTATACTGTGGTTGAGTATCAAGTATAATGGTTTGTCTTTATACTGTGGTTGAGAACCAATTATACTGGTTTGTCTTTATACTGTGGTTGGGTACCAAGTATACATGTTTGTCTTTATACTGTGGTTGAGTTCCAAGTATACTGGATTTGTCTTTATTCTGTGGTTATGTACCAAGTATACTGGTTTTGTCTTTATACTGTGGTTGAGTACTAAGTATTCTGGGTTTGTCTGTATACTGTGGTTGAGTACCAAGTATGCTGGATTTGTCTTTATGCTGTGGTTGAGTACGAAGTATACTGGATTTGTCTTTATACGGTGGTTGAGTACCAAGTATACTGGATTCGTCTTTATACTGTGGTTGAGTACCATGTATACTAGATTTGTCTTTTTACTGTGGTTGAGTACCAAGTAGACCGGGTTGTCTTTATACTGTGGTTGAGTCCCAAGTATACTGGTTTGTCTTTAAACTGTGGTTGAGTACCAAGTATACTGATTTGTCTTTATACTGTGGTTGAGAACCAATTATACTGGTTTGTCTTTATACTGTGGTTGAGAACCAAGTATACTGGTTTGTCTTTATACTGTGGTTGAGTACCAAGTATACATGTTTGTCTTTATACTGTGGTTGAGTACCAAGTATACTGAGTTGTCTTTATACTGAGGTTGAGTACCAAGTATACTGGGTTGTCTTTATACTGTGGTTGAGAACCAAGTATACTGGTTTGTCTTTATACTGTGGTTGGGTACCAAGTATACATGTTTGTCTTTATACTGTGGTTGAGGACCAAGTATACTGAGTTGTCTTTATACTGTGGTTGAGTACCAAGTATATTGGATTTGTCTTTATACTGTGGTTGAGTACCAAGTATACCGGTTTGTCTTTATACTGAGGTTGAGTACCAAGTATACTGGGTTGTCTTTATACTGTGGTTGAGTACCCAGGTTACTGGGTTTGTCTTTATACTATGGTTGAGTACCAAGTATACTGGTTTGTCTTTATACTGTGGTTGAGTACCAAGTATAATGAGTTGTCTTTATACTTTGGTTGAGTACCAAGTATACTGGATTTGTCTTTATACTGTGGTTGAGTAACCAGGTTACTGGGCTTGTCTTTATACTATGGTTGAGTACCGAGTATACTGGTTTGTCTTTATACTGTGGCTGAGTACCAAGTATAATGAGTTGTCTTTATAATTTGGTTGAGTACCAAGTATACTGGGTTGTCTTTATACTGTGGTTGAGTACCAAGTATACTGATTTGTCTTTATACTGTGGTTGAGTACCAAGTATTCTGGGTTGTCTTTATACTGTGGTTGAGAACCAAGTATACTGGTTTGTCTTTATACTGTGGTTGAGTACCAATTAACAAGATGTTTTCATACAAATTGACACGTCCTCAGTATACCTTCCCTTGAAGATGAGGGACCTGTGATATAAATAAATTTCTGTAAGATTAATTTTATCTATATGCTTTCTTACGTATTATATTGATAGTTTAGAGTTATCTCCCATCAAAACTTCTTATTAAATTCATTCAGAAACACTAAGCAATTAGTTGGGAGGAATTATGAACGAAATCAATTCTATTGCAATACATACATGTATACCCAGAAAAGCTACCTTGCATATGGTACTATTGATTTGTGTTAAAAGTGATCTCCCTTGAGGATGTGATATTAATCGACATACGACACATGTTATTTGTGTTTAGAGTATTTCCATGAAGGAGGTGTGCTACAATGTACATATTAGGGTTTCTGTTAGATATGATGTACGCTACATTACATTTGTCACCAGTTATTTATGGTAATGCGGTATTCTTTAGATGCTACTTATATGCTACCTCATACAAAACTGTTACTTATATTGAAGTATATCTACATGTATCTGAAATTGGTATCTGCTACCGTACATTCAGTCTTTAAGGAAGACCGTGAAAGACAGACAGAATACTTCAGTTTCATTTCAACAAAGTGTTTACCCTCAGAACATGCATCCAACATATAATCCATGATTTAAATGCATCAGTTGATGCATTAAACCAATAAATCCCTTTGACTACATCACTTGATGCATTAAACCAATAAATCCCTTTGACTACATCAATTGATGCATTAAACCAATAAATCCTTTTGACTACATCAGTTGATGCGTTAAACCAATAAATCCCTTTGACTACATCAGTTGATGCGTTAAACCAATAAATCCTTTTCAGAAAATTCCATGTGTCTCCCTCATAACTTACATATCATTCCTGGCAATTTGAATAACAGAATAATGAATGGAAAGTCACAAATTATTTAACATTTTCCTTTTCTTTCAGTTGTTGCAGCAAATTGTATGTGAATTGATTTGACGCACTTATAGTCATCAGATTTAACATTGTATTATATAACTAATGCTAAACAGAATATTTCTTTGATTACAGGCATTAGCTTTTCGGTAAGAAAAACCACTAAGACAACTTTCATGTAGGAAGAAACATTCAAGGGCAAAAACGTTAAAGGTATTAGGAAAGATATATGAGGACTACAAAGATAACTTATAAGTCTGCAGGAAGATAGAAAAATGTTTTAACTTTGACCTAATGACAAGTGACAGTTATATTCGTGGAACAACTCAACAAGAGTAAAACACAATATGGTTTGTAATTCTGAGTGCATAAATGAGAGTACATGAGACAAGGGGTACAGACAGAAGTTACGTATTGTAAATCTACAAGTCTCAGAAAGTCTAAAATCAACATATACCGGACAGAAAACGTCTGAAAACATAGCCTAACTGGTGGGAGTAGCAAAGCAGGGGGTATAAGCATTTATATTCCAAAACAAAAGCAGCTAAGATTTCACAGGTACAAGGTAAGTATTACTGTGTATTATTCATTATGTTGATTAGTGTCATATGAAATTGGCGCAAGTTAAATATGTAGCTCTCAGAAAATAAAATATTTTCATAATTGCCATAATTAATTAATAGGTTTCACACATACATGTAGGTATAACCACAGAATTAGATTAGCTATCTAAGTCTGTGGTATAATAACTATAGGACTAGATGCCATTATAAAGCGGGATGTTAATTACTGTAAACCAATTTTATTTCACAGTTAAGGGAAATATTATGTTCATAATTAAATCTTTGTGAATTCAATTACTGTAAAACTTCCATAAATCGAACTTTGAAGATTCAAATTTCTAGCAATGTCAAATGTATGGTAAATTCGGATTTAGTGTGTTCTGTCAATTAAATAAAAAATAGTCACATTCAGTCTTATTAATTATATAAAGGATCTCAAAGATGTTTAAAGTTCAACATTTTTGAGTCAAAGTTGTGATTTTTTCCCGATTTGTCTACGAATTTCAAAACATTGAAGCTTGACTGACCCTTCCTCATAGATTTGTAAGTGTTATTATTACCTGTTATTATAACCTGTTATTTACAATGTGAAATATGATAATATAGTAGTTATATTTTGATTGCCGTACAACCAGCTGTACAGATTGGTCTTAGTTTGTGAGATAAAATCGGTTCACAGAAACAGGAGCTACTCTATAGTTGTTGGCGTTGCCATTGATCAAATTTAAAACGTAGAATTCTGAGTTTTCAATATATATTTACAAAATAAAGTTACCAATCAAGACACCTTGAGATCTCATGTCGTCTTATCTACATTGTAGGTATACAAACTTTATTATTACTTTTGAACTTACCTTCGTATTTGAGTTTTCTTAATTTTTTAACATAAAATAAATTCTTATAATGAGAATCATTTGACAATCAGATATCCCTTAATCAAGTTTGCTGTATACTGATTATCTTAAACTTCACTACGGGTATTTCTATTGAGGAATGGCAGATTTTATTATCAGAGATATTGTCCCGATCCCCCGATTCAACCAATGTACCAACCAAATAAGTGATTTCTTGTTAAACTTACCCACGCCTACAGAAACGAAAAAGAGCAAAGTATTAATTTCAAAATTCAAAGCAAAGCATGCATTAGCTTTAAAATAACTAAAACATATGCTGTATTGAGCAAAATGAAGTAGCAAAATAATCATTTGGAATTAGTTACAAGAAGCAAACAACTTGTTTAGCATGAAAAACAACTGGTATTAATTAATGAATTGCCCTCCAGTTTTGAGTCATAGGGGAATTGTAAAACAGAGTTAACAATCAGGGACTTGTAAATAACAGTTAGGGCTAACAATTAGGGACTTGTAAATAACAGTTAAGAGTTAACAATTAGGGAATTGTAAATAACAGTTAAGAGTTAACAATTAGGGAAATGTAAATAACAGATAGGGCTAACAATTAGGGACTTGTAAATAACAGTTAGAGTTAACAATCAGGGACTTGTAAATAACAGTTAGAGTTAACAATCAGGGAACTGTAAATAACAGTTAGAGTTAACAATTAGGGACTTGTAAATAACAGTAAGAGTTAACAATAAGGGACTTGTAAATAACAGTTAGAGTTTACAATCAGGGACTTGTAAATAACAGTTAGGGCTAACAATTAGGGAACTGTAAATAACAGTAAGAGTTAACAATTAGGGAACTGTAAATAATAGTTAGAGTTAACAATTAGGGACTTGTAAATAACAGTTAGAGTTAACAATCAGGCACTTGTAAATAACAGTTAGAGTTAACAATCAGGGACTTGTAAATAGCAGATAGGGCTAACAATAAGGGACTTGTAAATAACAGTTAGAGTTAACAATTAGGGACGTGTAAATAACAGTTAGGGCTAACAATTAGGGACTTGTAAATAACAGTTAGAGCTAACAATTAGGGACTTGTAAATAACGGTTAGAGCTAACAATTAGGGAACTGTAAATAACAGTTAGGGCTAACAATTAGGGAAATGTAAATAACAGATAGGGCTAACAATTAGGGAATTGTAAATAAAAGTTAGGGAATATTAGAACTTACAGCTTTGAGTTAACAAGTAAGACTGTTAAAAACACACCTGCAGAAAACAGTGCATTCATTATACACCATAGTCATTATACATTACACAACACAATTAAGTACAACAAAATAAATATAAAACAGCAATATAATTCTCAAGCAAAATGTAAAGAGGATATCTGATTCTGGTTAAGTCATAAGCATGGAGCGTAGCATTTACTAGACACTCTATACAAGGTCTAGTACAAATCCTGGATCACAGACACTCTATACAAGGTCTAGTACAAATCCTGGATCACAGACACTCTATACAAGGTCTAGTACAAATCCTGGTTTACGTAGATGATATTGCTCTGGTATTCAAGATAACATTAACTAAAGTGTGCAGCATACTTGATGAATATTTTTTCCCAAAGAGACCTATTACTTCAAGGACACATTCTATCTTCGTCCGATGAAAGATTTTTTAAAAAGGAGATAGTTTAAACTATTGGGACTGATCTGGTCCTGATCAGATATCAACTCTGCAACATCTGGTCCTGATCAGATATCAACTCTGTAACATCTGGTCCTGATCAGATATCAACCCTGTAATATCTGGTCCTGATCAGATATCAACTCAGTAACATCTGGTCCTGATCAGATATCAACTCTGTAACATCTGGTCCTGATCAGATATCAACTCTGTAACATCTGGTCCTGATCAGATATCAACTCTGTAACATCTGGTCCTGATCAGATATCAACTCTGTAACATCTGGTCCTGATCAGATATCAACTCTGTAACATCTGGTCCTGATCAGATATCAACTCTGTAACATCTGGTCCTGATCAGATATCAACTCTGTAACATCTGGTCCTGATCAGATATCAACTCTGTAACATCTGGTCCTGATCAGATATCAACTCTGTAACATCTGGTCCTGATCAGATATCAACTCTGTAACATCTGGTCCTGATCAGATATCAACTCTGTAACATCTGGTCCTGATCAGATATCAACTCTGTAACATCTGGTCCTGATCAGATATCAACTCTGTAACATCTGGTCCTGATCAGATATCAACTCTGTAACATCTGGTCCTGATCAGATATCAACTCTGTAACATCTGGTCCTGATCAGATATCAACTCTGTAACATCTGGTCCTGATCAGATATCAACTCTGTAACATCTGGTCCTGATCAGATATCAACCCTGTAACATCTGGTCCTGATCAGATATCAACTCAGTAACATCTGGTCCTGATCAGATATCAACTCAGTAATATCTGGTCCTGATCAGATATCAACTCTGTAACATCTGGTCCTGATCAGATATCAACCCTGTAACATCTGGTCCTGATCAGATATCAACTCTGTAACATCTGGTTATAATACAAAACAGCATATTGGGCATCCTTAACAATGAGAAATGTTACAGAAACTGAATTTTGTTTGATGAAAACAATAACCAGATCAGGTTATAATTTTCATCTGGTTAAGAATGGAGATAACTGGAGTGACAAGATAAACTACATATTAACACATAATTGGTGATTGTAAACTTCAGTGATACTAGGATGTACACAAAACATTAAACATCAATTAACTATTACAAGTATACAACATTTAACTACAAAATCAAACATCTAACTCAACATCTATAAATACCTACCAAGTTCAATTCAATCAACCATAAAATGCTTAATCAGGATAGCTTGCTAACTGAAAGTTGCTGGTTCCAGTACTAAGTTATATGTTATAACAGTGTTTGAATTTTACAGAGAAAATTAGAATAAACATCATCTATGTCAAAATCATCTGTTTTTACACAGGTTTTTTAATAAGTGAGTTGAGCCGGAATGTATTTTCAAACTGCTTTGTTTGTATGGACTCAGTTCTAATGCATAACTCATTCTCATAATAAATTACATATTAGTTTTATGAAACAATCCTCAGTTTCATGGATATTATTTGTAACATGTGTAATGGAAACAAGTTTGAAATTCTGTTTATTATGTATTAATGAATGATCCATTTTTGGTATTTTACAATTTAAGTAACTGCAATGTTGATGTGACATTGCAATTTAACTTGCAATATTTGGGTAATTTATCATGTTTGAAAATGTGCCCTAATATACTGAGAGACCTAAGTTAAAAGAGATGACTATTCCAAAAATAGTGTTGTTGTATCATGTGTGTATATTGGAATTTATGATTCAAAATAATTTACATTACTAGTAAGTAGTATCTGACCTGCTGGTGTGGCAAACATATTCAAATTGTTCTAAATCATAGATCAATCACTTATTTCGCTACAATGAAATGTGAATGTTGCAAACAGTGTATATCAGCATTTCCAAAATATCCAAAATTATCTCCCTTTATTGTATATTCTATATGACAAATTCATCTTAATGTTGCTAGAGCTCTATTTTAAATACATCAGTGAGTCCACTAACATGACTTTGATAATTAAAAGATAAAAGTTGAATGACAATTATTAAAGCAATGCAAAACAAACTTGTGATTTCAAAAAAGAATTATGAATCAAATGATTATCTCCCTTTATAGTTAACCTTCTCAGGTGGTATTTTTCAAATGTATTATTTGTCAATCCATTTAGCTAATACCTATATACTCTTTTTAACTCAACCATTCGGAAATTTGTAGGATCATAATATACAGATTGACTACAAATATATATACCATAGAGACTAAGACAAAGTTGTGAACTTTGTATTTTCAATGTTTCTACTATTAAGTTTTATCTTCAGTTATCTCTCTTTATTGTAAATAAACGATAATAAACGATACATAACGAATTTTGCAGTTGTAAGCTGTTTTGAATATATTTAACCTAGTTTTATTTAATTCTACCTTGTAATTACATTAACGTTACGTGACTGTGATGTTGAATAAAATCCAGTTGTGTATAATGTCATTATTTGATTTTGCGTTTTTGTTCAAACATTGCATGTTACATAATCTTGATTTTTTCCGCAATGGTTAAAGATTGGTCACTAATATTTTGGGTTTTTATTTCTCACACTGTTAGCTCTCAGAAAACATCAAAATCTTTATTTCTGATTTTACCTCATCTGGCCCCATTTTCGCAGTCGCTGTCACAATTATAAAAGAGAAAGAAAAAAAAAAAAGAGAAAAAATCCAGCGAAGAGAAAATCTTATTGAAGCCCTTCAAAGATAGTGATCCCACTCTATCAACACAGCACTGGTTATAAATACTCACTCTATTTTGTGGAGATGATCAAAATCAAACCAGATAACAACTGCAAAGGCCAAGAGGTTAGAGCACTGGGCCATCAAGCTGGAAATATAATAATACAAATGTTGTACACAATTACAGCTGTCAATTCTACACTGAACTATATGTGTATGTTAAAACCTGACATTAGTACCACCCTTGCTTTCTGTATAATGAGTGAAATACATTAGTTTTAAATCAAAATTCAATTTATGAATTAGTCACTTTCAAATGAGTTAATTTTAAAGCAAATTCCAATATACAATTCAAAACATCTACTTGTACATTTTGTACTTCCTTCCCTATTTGAAGAAAAGGTAATCATGAATATAACAAGAGAGATCCTGGAGGATTGTGGTGCCCACCATTGTAAGATCTTCATTGGTTCTATGTAAGTTTAATCTTTTCTGTTATCTGATGGATTGATAGTCTTGTCAACAGTAAATGAATCTCTGGGAAACTTTTGATTTAAACTTCATACAGCTTGGTTCAACAGTGTTCTTTTAAATGTTATTATGGTAACTTACCTGGTGATGGCTAGACTACCTTATTATGGTAACTTACCTGTTGATGGCTAGACTACCTAAGTGTCTGATGAACGTCAAAAGGCACAGAGGTGGTAACAACACCAGGAGCCAGTGGATACTGTAAATGAATGTGTATATATCATCACTAGGCTTAAAAATCACACACACCTTCGTAACAATATTTCATAATCTCTACCCATCAGAGACCTGGGTAAACCACCACAATAAATTATTATAAATTAGGTGTCTAACTTATTACATGTTTCGATAGAAATATCATATCAATTTATATGAAATAAGAAAAAATCTAACAATAGAAATGTCAAGACCACCTTGGCAAAGAGCAATATATATGTATATAGCTGTGGAATCATAGGCTGTAACACTGTGCATAAGGGGAGACAAATCTAACAAATTGTAAAGGTATAAAAAAATCACCTCCCCTTAGTTTCATTTTGGAAATAGCCCAAATGGGCAAATGTACTATACCGTTGACCAGGAAGATCAGTGGTTAGATTGCCAGTACATAATGATCTGAGGTCAAGGGCTCTAAACCTGGTCTGGCCCCATTGCAATCGATAGGAATACTAAAGCTGTTATTCCTTTCATATTTCATCTTGATCATTTTTTCATAAAAATGCCAGCAGGGTACTGTTTTCTTTTCAAAAATGATTTATCAAAGCTAGTCACAATTTCCAATGCAGCCACAGTTTTTAAAAGTAGTACTGAAATCCTTAAACTTTTAAAAACACAATATTATGCAAATTTTGTTTATTCACTGTTAGAGTGCCTTGATTAAACTTAAAGACATAGCCATTTTTTATGTTTCATTGATAATTTTCTTATATCTGTACACAACTTACAGTCTCATATGACGCATGTAGTCTGATAAATTTTCTGTAATGAAGATCAAATAGGCACAGCAAAATCCTGAAAACCAAGAAAAATCAATACTTTAATCAAATTATGGGCATTAAAAAAAAGAAGTTACCAAGTATTTTACCATGCAAGGTGAATGACACTGAAGCATATAGTGACCACCTGCTCAAGATGACTGATGACAGATTCCTAAAGCCAGTAAACACATACACACCAGATAACAGAATCTTTGAAATTTGTGATTTTAATAACCAATGCTCGTTCATATTATATCTATAATAGTCCTGAATGCCTGTTTATAAGTAATACCTGTCCAGTTGACAAGAGAGGACCTGTGTAACCTGTTATAAACCAGACCACCAACACATTTCTTTGTCAACATTTAGAAATTTCATATGAATCTCTGATATCAGAATCAATATACATTGTCGTATGTGTCAAGATTGATACAGTTTGTATGTGTGGTTGGTTACGTGAAGTAAAATTCAAATATTATAACAGGAAGCAACGAAAAAGGAAATAGAAATTCAAAAGAGCCAGACATGTAAATTGTTTAGAAAAGCTTCGTTTACCTTTCAGATATTTTTTACACTAAATATTGTAGTCGTCTACCTATAGGACAAAATGTGTTAAACAAAAACTGTTTCATCTATCAAAGTCTCTGGATTTTTACACAAAAATCAACTTGAAAAACAAATTTATTGAATACTATAATAAAAGAACATTTCATATCAATTTGACTTTTTAACTTTTTACCATTGTTAGAAGTGTAATTCAAAACGGGGTTGAAAATATATACAATATATGTAAATTATATGATTATATAAATACAAAAGTGCAAAGTAGAATAGATACGTAAACAAAGAGAATTCAATACTGGTTAACTTTTGTTTAAAAGGCCAGAGAATGAACATTTGACAAGATTAAAATCTCCCAGTTTATAGTCACTGTATTGACAGTAATATATCACTTGACAAACTCGGAACCTACCAGTTTGGGAAACTAGAATGGCGACATCAACCAGCACCCTTCCAGAATGGCCGATGGCATAATATCCTGTAACAAAATAGAGTTAAGTGATACAGTAAATCAATCTGTATAAATGTAGCTCACAAAAATGTAACTGAAAACGATAGTTTAATAAATGTCCCTTAAATCAACATCAACAGTATAACATGTGATGATAACTGTGAGACACACCATTGTCATACCAATAACATGATATTGTGAGACATAACACTTTTACAGTGTCATACCGATAACATGACATTGTGAGACACAACAGTGTCATACCAATAACATGATATTGTGAGACACAACAGTGTCATACCAATAACATGATATTGTGAGACACAACAGTGTCATACCAATTACATGACACTGTGAGACACAACAGGGTCATACCGATACCATGACACTGTGAGACACAACAGGGTCATACCAATACCATGACACTGTCAGACACAACAGGGTCATACCAATAACATGACACTGTCAGACACAACAGGGTCATACCAATAACATGACACTGGGAGACACAACAGTGTCATACCAATAACATGATATTGTGAGACACAACAGTGTCATACCAATTACATGACACTGTGAGACACAACAGGGTCAGACCAATAACATGACATTGTGATACACAAAAGTGTCATACCAATAACATGATATTGTGAGACACAACAGTGTCATACCAATAACATTACATTGTGATACACAAAAGTGTCATACCAATAACATGATATTGTGAGACACAACAGTGTCATACCAATAACATGATATTGTGAGACACAACAGTGTCATACCAATAACATTACATTGTGATACACAAAAGTGTCATACCAATAACATGATATTGTGAGACACAACAGTGTCATACCAATAACATGATATTGTGAGACACAACAGTGTCATACCAATTACATGACACTGTGAGACACAACAGGGTCATACCAATACCATGACACTGTCAGACACAACAGGGTCATACCAATAACATGACACTGGGAGACACAACAGTGTCATACCAATAACATGACACTGTGAGACACAACAGTGTCATACCAATAACATGACATTGTGACACACAACAGGGTCATACCAATAACATGACATTGTGATACACAACAGGGCCATACCAATAAAATGACATTGTGAGACACAACAGTGTTATAGCAATAACATGACATTGTGATACACAACAGGGCCATACCAATAACATGACATTGTGAGACACAACAGGGTCATACCAATAACATGCCACTGTCAGACACAACAGGGTCATACCAATAACATGACACTGTCAGACACAACAGGGTCATACCAATAACATGACACTGGGAGACACAACAGTGTCATACCAATAACATGACACTGTGAGACACAACAGTGTCATACCAATAACATTACATTGTGATACACAAAAGTGTCATACCAATAACATGATATTGTGAGACACAACAGTGTCATACCAATAACATGACACTGTGAGACACAACAGTGTCATACCAATAACATTACATTGTGATACACAAAAGTGTCATACCAATAACATGATATTGTGAGACACAACAGTGTCATACCAATAACATGACATTGTGATACTCAACAGGGTCATACCAATAACATGACATTGTGATACACAACAGGGTCATACCAATAACATGACATTGTGATACAAAACAGGGTCATACCAATAACATGACATTGTGAGACACAACAGTGTCATACCAATAACATGACATTGTGAGACACAACAGGGTCATAGCAATAACCTGACATTGTGAGACACAACAGTGTCATAGCAATAACATGACATTGTGAAACACAACAGTGTCATACAGACAACATGACATTGTGATACACAACAGGGTCATACCAATAACATGACATTGTGAGACACAACAGTGTTACATCAATCAGATGATAATTATAATTATTTAAAATTGAAGTATCAATTCCTTTTCTGACCAATTTTAAAGACAAAACAGCGTGAAGATTTGTTAATGCCTTAAAACACTTCTGTTTCCAGTATTCCTACTTAACCTGTATTGCCTTCCATGCAAGTTGCTATGTCAATTTAAAACAAGAGGCCAAGAGGGCCTGTATAGCTCACCTATTTCTTTTGTTACATGAAACTGACATATAGGTAACTTCAGACCAAATTTGGTAACTAGAACACAAGATACTTTAACATCTCTTAAATGGTTTTTAGGATATTGTTGTTTGAAATTTGTGAAGTTTTGATTTTTTAAGCTTTTAACCCACGTTGACCTTTGACACAAGCTAACACTTGACACTAGATCAAGGTCATTTTAATGAGGAAACTTTATAGCACTCCATCCTAGGTGCGAAATGGCTAAACAGCATGACCCTGGGCCTTATGGAACTTGATAAAAAGATTTTTAAAGCTTTTAACCCATGTTGACCTTTGACCCTGAACTAGCACTTAAAACTGACCTTTGACCTCATTACTGCAATAAAAAACGATTCACACTGATGGTCTTCACAACATACCCAAGTATCATGACTCTAAACCTAGACCAAATGGTTCTTAAGATTGCAATTGAAATTTTTAACATATTTGACCCCTGTGCCCTTGAAATTAGGTCAATGTAATTTTAATGAGGCGTTATAGCATTCCATATCCAAGGTACCTACTGGCCAAACAGCATGACCCTGTGCCTTATGGAACTTGACAAGAAGATTGTTAAAGCTTTTAATCCATGTTGACTTTTGAAAACCCTTTAACTACTAGCACTTAAAGTTGACATTTCACCTCATTACAGTGAACAAGAAAAAGATTCACACTGATGGTTTTCATAACATACATAAGTATCATGACTAGTCCAAATGGTCCTTAGGATATTGTTAACATTTTTATTTTCAACATATTTGACCCCTGGCCTGTGACCTTGAAAGTAGGTCAAGGTCTTTTTAATGAGAAAATGTTATAGCACTCCTTTGCAGGTACCTACTGGCCAAATATCATGACCCTAGGTCCTCCAGTTCTTCTTCTGCAGTTGTTCAAAGGAAAACGTTGACAGAGGGACGAGGGATGCCGCAGTATGGCATAAGCTCACATGACCATTCGGGCCAGGTGAGGTAAAAACAAAACACTGTGACAGTTACAATATCTGCTTATCAAATCATATCACATATATCATAATCTCATGTTCTTTTAAAAGTAATAACTGATCACATTTACCATACAAACACAGAAATAATACTTACCCACATCACCATAAGACATTTCAGGCTTGTGTTCTTCAGTCTGAAGGCAAAATTTTACAATGAAGACTCAATCATTACAAATTAAATATAACAAAAAAACATGTAATAGTTAATGAGTGTTAAGACAATATGTTTTCCTTCAACCGTTTCTTTTCGATTTGCTAGATACATGCTGACCAGTCAAAGGACCACATTATTTCCCTATAAAGAACAGACCAGTGTTGGCTCTATACTCTAAACTCTATATAGCTAACTAGTACCTGTGGCAGAATCTCCTGGTCTCCACTCAGCAGGTTGACAATTTCCACTTTTTCTGCCAGTCCGTCATCATTCATCTCTTTTTCTTTGTATTTCCTGTGCTTTCTGTCACGATGTTCATCCACTTTCTTGTCTTGTAGAAGCTTGTATTTACAGTCCACTATCAGCATCATAGCCTTTACACTATAATAGCACGGAAAGCTTTGTTAGTCTTCAAATCAAGGTAAAACAATCAAGAAACTTAATATTATTGATTATCATGCACATGGCCTTTTATACTTCTACAGCTATAGAATTGTTAACATCAAAGGATTATCACGAATAAATTCATATTTTAACTGGGGGACAAATGACTCACAAATCAAATGTATTAGACATGAATGAATTTAGATTGAAATCAGTAGCAGCTGTTATACTACCGGTAGTGTGTAGATATAATCTCACACCCTGATAAAGATTAATATAAATAAAATTAAAATTAAAAATAATATGAATGTTTAATATGATATGTTTGTATTACCATATATACACTTATTAATGATATTTATTGAATGTATGACTTCAATGTAATTAAGTCTGTATATGTCATGTATGTTATTTGGTGCTTATGTGTATTCAATTTGACTTTTTTTGTAATGTAAATATGTGCACATTATTCTGTTTAAATGTTATCTTCAAATTGGAAGAAATAAAGAGAATAATAATAATAAACATCCTGGATAACGCAATTCAATAAATTAACATGATTTTAAAGAAAAAAACCTTTATGAAGTTCTAAAATTGTAAGCACTTAATTCAGTAATATAAAACAGGCCTAAAATGAACAATTAAATTTAAAGATCCATATGTTACATCAAGTGTCAGAAACTGTTAAATGTATTTAAAATTCGTTTTAATGGAATCATCAGATTATATTATATGACAGAGACATTTGAAATCCTTGTACTTTTTTCACCAGTATAACTGAAATGAGAAGTATAGTCTGTATAATACGCGTACGGCGTATCATTAATGATTAACATACCTTAGAATCCCCACACTGGTCATCACAAAGATCCCTTCCAAAATTCCAGCCTGAAAGCAAGTAAGCATATATAGTAGCACAAGGGCATGACCATGTACATGTAAAGGGAAAAGATAGTATTAGTACTTGACCTGTCAGTTTTTTGTGTACTGAATCACCAGTAAGTCTGCCTAAATAAGCAAATGAGAGTATATAGTCAAATCTGTCTATACAATTAAACATTGAACTGTTTTCAGTTGGCATTCACAGACAATATGAATGCCAACTTGACACAGACCAATTCAATGAATCACGCTAGCGCTGCATGTGGTGTGGTATCCAACATGATCATTATGACGTACGTAATTATGATGCGGATGCCAACAATCAGCTCATGGCATTCACAGCGTAAATGAATACCATAATGGCAGGTTTATATATAGTTGGCATGCCATATAATGGTAAACATTAAAACAAATATAAACAAATGAGAAACTTTTTTGTACCCCAGAACTTAGCCTGATTTTCCTTTGGCCCTGGCACCAACCTTAGACATTTTAACAGATATATGTCTGATGTGGGACCAGAGTGCACTACTATATGAAAACATGGAATTCTCTGACATTGTTTGTAATCAGGGTTATCAACAAAAAGATGCAGTCAGGAAGTCTTCTAACACAAGAATAATATTTTCGTTTTCGATCCGAATCAGTATGGTTTGTTGATTAGTCACTCCCATGATATATCTGCAAATTAAAGTGGCGTTTCCTCAGGTGGGACATTTCGGACGATTGAAAACAGGACTCTACTGACAGAATTAAGCAAATGTTGGTAATAATAAGAGTGGATTTGAATCAATTAATAATCCATTTATCGATATATGTGAGGTATGTGTTGTGTCATAGTAGATTTTGGTCGTCACCACCTCGAAACTCCCTGATGCCAAACAGTGTCCGAGATTTCCACATTTTCATATCGTAGTGAGCCATGGCCCCACACCAGACATCTGTCGAAATGTTTAAGTCTGGTGTCTGGGTCAGAGGACACTGATCAGGCTACCCGGAAATGTGGGTTTATGATGAAAAAGTGAGGTAGGGATAGATTTTTCAACTTCGAAAACTTCAATTTCTTTTTTGTATACCATAATGTGGGGTGGCATTTTCATGAAATGATGCACATTTTAAGACAAGAGATACATGTAATATTAATCTCTACACAATAGGAGAACCACATGCACGCATTTGGAATCAATGTTAAGTTATATATATACATAATTATACTACAGAGAGACTAAAAGGTCCAGTACACTCTGCCGATTGAGCTATATAGCTATATCCACCTATAAATTATAGCTGTATTGAGCTATATTTTCTGAGATTTCGATTTTCATTAATTTAAAGTAAAGTCGCATACAACAATAAGCTTTAAGGTTTATGGTAATGTTGTCTACAAAAAGTATACATTTAGATGTTTATTTTCATTTTTCATAAATGTAAAATTTCCGATTTTTTTATATCATTATTTTTTAAAAAGAATACCTACCAGGTATATTTAAGGGCATATATTTAATTAATGTCTTTTGTTATCAACCTAATGATACAAAAAAAAATTAAGAGCGAATTTGTTTCGTTTTCCTTCAAAAAGAAAATCACATGAAAATAGCTCAAAAGACCTATTTCAGATCTAGATAGGTCAATAGAGCTATAGGTCTTTACAGCTATATTGCTCGATCGGCAGAGTGTACTGGACCTGACTAATGTACATGTGGCTTCAATGATGAGGAAGGGGTATGTACATCATTTACATATGTCAAACTATGAAGGAGTCTTCCCTACTACCCTACTTTATTGTTAAAACAGTAGGATAGGGAAGATTATTTCATATTTCTTTTACATGTTTACATACCAAATGAAGATACCTGCGAGATCTGACTATACGAATGCTAGTCGTTTCGGTAACAGGTCGTTTCGGTAACAAGTTGTTTCGGGAGTCCTGAAGTCGTTTCGGGACTTAATCAAGTCGTTTCGGGACATGTACAATTTTCACTTATAAATAAGATTTCGCCCCCTTTTCATAACAAGTCATGTAAATACACAAGCATGGTTTTAGTCTATGACCTGTATCAGGACCTACCGTGCTTGGGATCATTATAGTGTTATATATATAATTAACAGATTGCTAGTGCTTGAGGGGATACCTACCAACATTTACCCGATTGACCTGATGAAACTAATCTCATTAATAAATACAGATCTAGAGGAACTTATGATATTCAACATCAATTTCTTTCATTACTGATAGCTAGGTTAATTCCTTCGTTTGATATTGTAATATGTTTTCATTTATTCACTTTATTCTCCGTTATTGTTATTGACATTAAGAGACAAATGAGTTAACATTGGTTCTAACAATGTTTTAAGCATTTTATTTTTGCTATATTGAAATTAAATTTCATGAAAGTAAAAATGTGAAACACGTAGAATATATTTTAGACATGTGAATCAATTCATCAAATCCAGCAATATAGTTTGAACGATCAATGTTTTTATGTTGTGTATTTGTGTCTGTGTGAATATTATATCTATTCATGTGTTATTAAAATCATGTAATGGTAAATGTATGAAGAGAGAAGGCTTTGATAAATTGTAATAATTTTTATCCAATCGATTGTCTAAATTTAGTTGACATTAAAATATGTTTAAAGAAAAAAGGCAATGGTAACAACAGAAGATAAAAAAAAATGAAAAATCCCGAAACGACTTTTGACATGTCCCGAAACGACTTTCGCCTTCACGGTCTTGTTACCGAAACGACACGACACCATACAATTCTCAGGTCCTGTGTTGCTGACTTACTCATGATCAGTCGGTGAGACGAGATACATAATGCATATTACCGTTAAAATTAGAATCTAAGCTAGGACTGATACTGTTTAGGAGTATATTAACTATATTTACCTCTTTAAAAGCGAAAGGAAGTCCAAGAACACCAGCGCCAATAAACGAAATGAAAATATTGGCGAAGATTTTCACAGGGTGTCTAGAACCCGTTTCCATACCTTCTCCACCCGCCATCTTTATTTAAAGTCTACCACCGTCGTTTGGACTTCTGTAAATAGTCTCAATTCGACGGCGTCATGTTTCTGTAACTCTGAGATTGTTATGATATTTTTTGACGTGACATGACACTGGTTTCCGTTCAACGTGTACCTCGCCGGATGTAAACTAACACTAGCGCCACCGCAATTTAGCAGGTACCCCAGGTACGATAACTCTGGTAGTAAGTACAATAAGGTTGCGCTCCACTAAATAAATTAATATGTCAATAAATGTAAGGTTTAATGTGGATTCGGTTTCGAACATATAAAATCAGTGGCGGATTGATATTTTTCCTGGGTTTTAGGACACGAGACGTATTTTATCGTCTAGTCATAGGTTTCCACGCGTTATATATTTCCGCGCAACCATTTTATCATTACTAAGTGACCTGCTGGACACTAACCAAAACTGTCGTATGCTAATGAGGCCACATCTCCTCGCCATTTTTCCCACTTCTGAAGAGCAAATGAGGCATTCTTATATCGAAAATAAAACACTTTTTGCAATTAAATGAAACCTGGTAATGCAATGAACTTCCAATTTTCACCAGAATAAAATGAGAAATAATTTACCATCAACCAAAACCGATATAAGACTGCACAAAAAATAATAACAGATTCTATTATAAACAAATAAATAAAATAAATGAATTTATAAGATTACATTAATTCTTTCAAGTTAACATATTGAAAATTCAAGAAAAAATGTGAAATTAAAAAAAAAATGTCATGTAAATATAATTGACGATCAAAGATAATTTCTTTTACCAAACGAAGCTTTTGTTCGTGCGGACCACTGTAGAGAAATTCTTTTAGTGTATTCGAGTTATCTTTCTTTGCACACTAAATCAAAATAGACAGACGGAAACATATGACGGCTACTTTCGATTGTGTACAAGTCTACTGACAGTAATTCATAATTTTAACAGTTTTCTACCGATATAAGTACGACTGAAGTCGCGGCTGCTTCTTAAGTGCGCGGAATCCGATCTCACTCTTTTACAATTCGAACTCACCGGTAAATGAATTTAGAAATAACTTTCAGAAAGACTTAAAAAAGTGAAAAAATCAAAATCATATGCTTTGCCCTTTTTGCACTAGCTTTGGCAAAGAAACTATACAAGACGACGAGTGGCCATTCTGAATTCATCCTTTATTTTCAAACATCTTAACAAAGATACCAGTTATACCAAGAATTGTATTTAGGCATTTCCTTGCGGTATGTTTAAAATTCAAGTTGCATAAATAGGTTGATACACAATAACGAATAACTCTCAATTTCAAAAACAAAAACTCAACCTTTTAAAAACAAATTTAGCCATAATTTATTAGGCAACGGATACCGCTGTGTCTGATAACATTTGGGTGTTACCCTACAGTTTTGTACAGCCTGTTTAAAACAAACACTGGTGAATATGGTAATTTGCTCCATAAAAGTTCGATTGTAGAACATTGTAGAACACTGTAGAAAAGTTTGCCTACTGGGAGTTACTGGATCACATGCCTATATGATATGGTGGCTAATATATGACATTTCGTCTTTTCGTTTTGTCGCTCGCGAAATAACGCCAAGCGAAATAACGAAATTATTTTGTTATTTCGCTTTGGCGGGTTTTCGTCTTTTCGTTATTTCGTTAATTCGCTTGGCGTTATTTCACGGGCGATAAAGCGAAAAGACGAACTGTCATATATAAGCCACCATAATACTATGAAGTGGTCTTGACAGCCTATATCTGGTCCAAGTGTGTGGCGTGCTCATCGAAAAGAAAACCTAAATTTGACGGATGCTATAAGACATATTTCCTTTGTTTAGAGCTAGGGCAGCTGGTGATTTGCTGTCAACAACTATCTAGTGCGTCATGTATTAATTCATTGAAAATTTATTACTCCGCCTTAACGTTAAAGAAAAGCGGCGCATCACATGATACAGATTGAAGAAATGTAATGAAACAAAAGCGATAATGCCATCCCGTTAATAAGACAAGAGGATTATTCTAAAACTGTGTCTTAATTATCAACTTTGGAAAGTATCTTGGATTCTTCATAAAATAATTAATGATTTGACACAAACTCGACTCTTAATCCTGTTCGTGTGGATAGTTGCGTCGTTCCGGTAGCTCGGAATGTAATGAAAGTTGAAAGTATTAACAACGGTATAAATACCATTAATATCAATAACTTCCTACAGCACAAATCTGTCGCAGCTAACATGCTATCATACTTCAGATAAAAAAAAGTTCTCATTATTTCTTATAGTTGTTTTAAATTTATTTACACATATTTTATTTGCAAAAATACAAACGAGATTAGACTTAAACAACTTAGAATTATTCTTCTGACTTAAAACAATGATGATGATGATATATGTATATTCAGTTTTTCAGTAACAAGAAAGCACTACAAGTGCCGAGTTTGAGCTTTGATAACAGGAGTCCATTGTACTTGTATGACTCAGCAGACTCGTCATCTCCATAGAGCTGTGGTAGAGCTGGAACATACTGACAATCTACACACTATACTATACATAATGTAAAACTATAGGTTATCATGAATCTCTCAATTGGAACATGAATATCATGAAACTGATGATTTCTGTCAAAGACACCCCGATACAAAGGAAAACAACACGAGCAATAGAGTAATTGACAGCTTTCAATCCAAAAATGAAAACATATGTCAGCGTTTCTTGACCCCGATGTCCAAACACCATTCACCGAGCTGTATAATAAATGCCTAGTTGTGTAGACAGACAAAGCATAAAAAGTTGGCAGGCATTCTAACTCTAATTACAGGCCAATTTCTTTATCATCTACAGTTGGAAAAGTGTTTGAGGGAGTAATTTACAAAAATACTTGCAGAATTGTTTTATTGAAAACTCAGTTTTTACAAGCACCAGTCTGTTTATTTGCCTGGTCATTCTACTGTATATCAGCTTATTGAAATTTATTATAACACCTGTATTGCTCTAGAGGTAAGAAAACATGTTGGTATGGTATTCTTAGATATTTCTAAGGCTTTTGAAAGGGTTTGGCATAATCAGTTGATGTCGCGTTAACAACGTAGGACATTGTGATATTCGTGCACGTGGAATGTTTTATTTGTGTTTTGGGAATTAATAACACACGAATCGGATGATATGCAATACTAAGAGTTTTGTAAAGGAAAATTTCAGAATGATTATTTTCATGTGTCTTACCAATTAATACAATGAATTCATCTAATGTTGACATGGGGCGTGACTTCAGGGCGTTGGACAGATATTTACACAATTAAATCAGGACTTTGTCGCACTCCAAGATTATAAAGGTTGGAAATGATGGCATCTATAATAGTAATGACGATAACTATACATTACGTCGTAATGTTGTTACCGTGACATTAAAAGTAATCGCCTGAAGATGGCTGCAAGGCTTGAAAGCAACAAGAAATAGTTAATATTTCTGATATTTCTATATATAAACAAATAACAAATCAGAATATTTATAGCTTTTTTCATTTGCGTACATTGAACTTCAAACCTTGTTTCAGCTTATCAAAAACCTGCACAAATTACACGATTACGATATTTTATTTTTCGAAAGTAACTGGCTACTAAATAAGATCATTTTGATAGACATTACATTACATTTTTCAAACTTAGACATATAAGTATACATAAACAATATTATATGGGGCCCAGTCTCCAAGGTTATTCATCATTCGGTATTTAAAAACAAATGAAAAGATCACAAATTATACCAAGGAAACATTGATAACTTATAGTTTTCTTAGTCGCAAGAATACTTTGTTAGAAACATATTTACTGGCGGGGTTTTAAAATAAGCAATCTGTTATTTCCAAGAAAAGAATTGTGACGATATTGAATTTACAAAAAAACGCAATGACAAGGTTGTTTAAAAGGTATAAGGTCACTGGCTATGTAAAGAATTGCCCAAGATCTGACAAAGCTCGCTTCACTACAAGACGCCAGGGCGTTTATGTTCGGTAACCTCACTTTCCTGATCGCTTCACGACGTCTATAATGACGGCACATGCTGTTGTTTGATGTCTACCCACGGACAATGTGCAGGCGTCTTAAAGAGAGAGGAATATTGTGTTGTCTTCCAGCGATTGAACAAATCCACCAATGACGTCATCTGGTAAACCGTCTACAATGAGCAAGAAACAAACGAACTAATCGCGATATTGGTTTGACGTTGTGTTCAGTGTGACATTGTGTTCAGTGTGACGTTGTGTTCGGTGTGACGTTGTGTTCAATGTGACGTTGTGTTCAGTGTGACGCTGCGTTCAGTATGACATTGTGTTCAGTGTGACGTTGTGTTCGATGTTACGCTGCGTTCAGTGTGACATTGTGTTCAGTGTGACGCTGCGTTCAGTATGACATTGTGTTCAGTGTGACGTTGTGTTCGGTGTGACGCTGCGTTCAGTATGCTATTGTGTTCAGTGTGACGTTGTGTTAGGTGTGACGCTGCGTTCAGTGTGACACTGTGTTCAGTGTGACGCTGTGTTCAGTGTGACGTTGCGTTCAGTGTGACGTTGTGTTCAGTGTGACGTTGTGTTCAGTGTGTATGCTATTGTGTTGTGACGTTGTGTTCAGTGTGACGTTGCGTTCAGTGTGACGTTGTGTTCAGTGTGACGTTGTGTTCAATGTGACGCTGCGTTCAGTGTGACGTTGTGTTCAGTGTGACGCTGCGTTCAGTATGCTATTGTGTTCAGTGTGACGTTGTGTTCGGTGTGACGCTGCGTTCAGTATGCTATTGTGTTCAGTGTGACGTTGTGTTCGGTGTGACGCTGCGTTCAGTATGCTATTGTGTTCAGTGTGACGTTGTGTTCGGTGTGACGCTGCGTTCAGTGTGACGTTGTGTTCAGTGTGACGCTGCGTTCAGTATGACATTGTGTTCAGTGTGACATTGTGTTCGGTGTGACGCTGCTTTCAGTGTGACACTGTGTTCAGTGTGACGCTGCGTTCAGTGTGACGCTGTGTTCAGTGTGACGTTGTGTTCGGTGTGACGTTGTGTTCAGTGTGACGTTGTGTTCAGTGTGACGCTGCGTTCAGTGTGACGTTGTGTTCAGTGTGACGCTGCGTTCAGTGTGACGTTGTGTTCAGTGTGACATTGTGTTCAGTGT